TGCTCGAAATCTTCAGAATTGTCGTGCCTGTGAGGGCGTTCACACCTCCTGTGGTGGTCTAGTAGTTATTCGATATCTCGCCAATAACAGTTTGTCATCTCCCCAAGATCAAACCTTGATGATGGAAAGACGTTTGAAATTATGTGGAACGACAGTGGGCGGTGGCTAGGGAGAAAATGTTATTTGCTGAGTATCTGGCTAAAATGGCCACTAACTCTTGCAATTTTCATTCCAGCTGAACTGAGTGAGATATATCGGGCATCTCTTCGTAAGTACTATCTCTCTCATGCATTCGATGAAAATCTACTAGACCAGTATTGCATGAATATAAAGTTCACTAGAATGGAACTAGAAAAAAAAATGAAAAGCGTTCATGGCAACAAAAAAGATGGTGTGTACACGAACAAAGCTCAAGCGGTGATGCGTGTCATTGGTGCAATGGATTATATATACAACATGACGTTGTGGGAGACCAGGGGAAAAACGCTGATACAAGCAGCTTGGGGGTGTCCTGGCCACCCTGCGCGTGCTACTGCGTATAAAGGGTTGTAACAAACGAAAAACAAAAATGATCTGGAAAATGAAGTGTACACATAATAAATCTACACATAATATGTTGTACAATATTATCTTTCAGACAAAAAAAAACCTGGCGTGCTTTTATAGACATAACCAAGAAAATCTAAAAAAATAAATTTTTCCTTCAGAAAGAGCGAAATACGAAAAAGAAAAAGAGGGCGTTATTTATGAGGCGTATTCATAATAGTAATATTGTGGTGAAAATTCTACGCAGCTCTTTAAATGAGGTTTCCCTAATGTTAAAAAGCTGCTCTTTGTTGATTCTATTTAATAAAGCTTGGAGCGTAAATTCAAGCATTTGTTCACCATGATTATTGCGAAATTTCCATTCGCAATAATCATTCCTCAGGTTTTCCCATTCAGGTTTTCTTCAGGTTTTCGTATATTATACTGCAGTAGGGTAGCCAGTAATCATGCTAGCATTTGTAGAGTAATATTTTTTTCATTAATCTAGATTTACACTACCGACATAGATTAGAGTTAAAGACTTAGTTTACCGGGACAATGTTTTGTCTTGTAAAGAGGTCACTGGTGTGCGAGAGATATGGAACCTTGCATGCTAATTTAATCACGCTTTTTAATACTGCGAGCTTGCCAATATTTTTTTTGTTGTAGTACCCCGAACTAGCAATCCATAAATAAGTATTGGTACGAACAAAGCATCATATAAGAACATGTTGATGCTAATAGGGCATTGCAGTAAGGGTATGACAGTAACGCTCCTGTCGTTCCCGCACGTGAACTCCACGTCGTGTGGGAAAGTGACAGGAATTTTAGTGCCATAAAAACTTTACAAAAACGTGCCTTTTAAAAAAAGACACTGTACGATTCTAGAGGCCAGTTAAAGTCACTGAAAACATTTTTAGGGATAACGAAGAGCCTAAGAAAACAAACCACTTCGAAACAAACCTTAGGGTGCAAATGGACGGGTTCCTGCGAAGTAATGTGCGCTTAAAAATATTAGTTATCTGGACAGCCACGATCGAGCATGAAACAGTCACACCACTTCTGTGGGCCCCGATGAGCACGCTAACGTCAACATATCGTAGTGTCATTTTGGAGCACATACAACAAAAAGCTTTTGAAGCTGTCCACGTCGGCAAACTCTTAGGAGCATGCATAACCTAGAACTTAAATAACATGCTTACTAACGTATTCTTGTGTTTGAAGCTGTGGCGAAAGCCGCAACTCTCCGCTTTGAGTATAGGGCTGGTCTAAACTGCATTTGAGATTTCAGTACATGGCGTGTTCTTTGGCATAAGTTTTAGTGGTGAGAACTCGGCCAGCAGGTACTTTTGTTTTCTTCGTGTCGCTTAGGTCACTGTCTGTTGTTAGAGGAAGCAAATGAACTCCGTCCAAGCTTGCTTTCATGCTGGTGTTTCTGTTTCTTTTTATTTGTTTGTATTTGAGTGCAGTGGGTTGGTGTGCAATACAATAAAACCTATTGATTTAGGAAGCCTTCGCGATATTTTGCCTGTGTGTGTATCTAAGGTGATTGCACTGCGGATGAAATTTTCAAAAATAGAAAGAAATGTTGACTAGTAGAAAACTCTGTTCGTGGCCGTAGTTGATTGCTATCATGTCGTAACTGCACTCCATTTTCTTTCCTGTACTTTCCTGCAGGTCCACACCCAGCGAATAAGCCTTTGCCAGGTAAGGTGTTTTCATCACGGGAGCATACGCGAATATTTCTACAGGGATGTTGGCTTGAAAATAATTTCAGTGATAAAACGGGAACGAAATTCCTTTTGATAACGCAGTATCTTTACCATATATTATGATTTCTTCACCTTATGCTCCTTGCCCTCTGCAGCCACTGAGTGGTGTAAACAATTCACTGTATTGTATTTTCACATTTCCCTGAAAACCATTTACAAAATGGAATGCTTTCATAGTTCTGGTAATTTTTCTCCTCTTTATAAAGTGATACTACTTTCCTGTGATTAGTTTTTTTGCCAATATGTGTGTTCATACAGTGGCGCGACAGCGAACTCAAGTTTGCCGAAACTAATACGTAGTTCACCACTACAGAGTGCCTCATAGTGCCACCTTACTTATCTCCCATAAAACTCTAACAAATAATATCAATAAAGCAGTACTCGTCCATTGTTACGGTAAAACGGTAACGTGAAAAGCATAAAGACAGCCTAAAGAGGTGTAATAAAAGTTTTGAGCTTGTCCGTATACTAGAGTGTGAGTGGAATCCACACTTTACAGCCGACAGTATAGTCATGTTGACCTCTGTACGCTGAACGACTGTATCTGTCAGTAATCAATTAATCCTCATATACACTCTCCTTTGGTAGCGTTTACAAAATCAAGCTATTCGCAACGCGACTGGTTGCAAATCGCCGATTTGAGCAATCGAAGGCTCTCGGCACAAGATAACTGCGTGTCTGCGAAAGTCTGAGATTAATGGATTGGGCTCTTTATATCTTAGGCTCGGGTGGCAAAAATTTCTTGCTGGTAGGCCTAGAGTGAGGCCTAATTTTTGTTTATTGTAGTACAATGTTTCTAATGAGGCAGTCTTGCGAACGAGGCAGCCCGTTGGCCCTAGCGTGATGCGGTAGTCATCGCGATAAGGAATGAATCCATTCGTTCCAAATCGCATACTGAAAGAAAAAAAATATTATCGACGTGAGGAGGAAACTACGATAGAGATATGCTAATCATACCTGCGGCTTGGCCCGATATTGAAGCATTGGATCTCTGGCCACCGTACAGCAAATCGGCCTACACACGGCTGTCGTCAACATTGCCGATGCAGCCAAATACGAAGGAGAATGAAGATTCAATACAAGACTCGTTAACGCGGGAAACACTCATCAATACAGCATCAATGTATACAGGACATGTGGTGGAGGAGGCTACCCTGGCCCACATACGGTAAACAGACCTTCACAGTCCGGTGCGTTATTGATTATAACAACTTCGTGCTTCAAATGACAGTAGGGCTGCATGTACTTTTGAGAACACCAATGATTAGGGACAAGTGTACGCGTTCACTCATAAATGAATATCCAGTGTGAGTTACCAGTGGATCAGCGTCCATAGTTACGAAAAACCTGTCAGCCCAGACTGATTAGAGAACAACATTTCAGCGAAGCCTGCTGTTGGATATTGCTAACTGAGGCCAGCTTGCCAATGCAAGAGATACTTCAGAAAAAGAAACTAAATTTCACTCCGTATACTAAAAAATAGAAAATTAAAAGCCATTTCACTCGGTCAAAGCGAATTACGAGCAACGTTCTTCAATACACGACAAACAGTTGACACATTATTTCGGTGATCATTGGCTCTGACAGTCAGGAAATTTTGATGAAGACATGCGCTGAATGTTGAATTTAGCGTAGGCTTTCATACGCCAAACTTCGGGCAGGTATGATCGGGTCTTCAATCCAGGGCTTCGCTGGCACGAGCGGCTCTGTGTGTCTGGTCAAGTAAAGCTGTTTACCCTTGCTTTTCTTCGACCACAAACGACGCCTCCTGTTATATGTGAAGCGTGCGGATGCCTAGGACAACTTCATTTTGAGCGGACGAGTGGTGGTTAGATTGTTACCACAAGTTCCGTGGCACATGCCGTCTAGGGTTTTCTCCTGTGAGGGTCGCTGTTCGGGGAATCCATAATGACCACGTTTTACACAGTTCCACTGCAAAACTACCATCCTGCGGTCGCCGCTCTCAAGCTACACCTTGTGTATTTTGCTTAGCTGGGTGCGATTTCGGGATGAAGTAGCTCTATCTTGCGAAATACTCAAAACAAAGTGACATTAACTTAGCGCATAGGTCAGAAAAACTTGTGGAGCTCACTTAGACTCTTTCATGTATTACATTTGGAGCTTCCAGCTCACTAGCACTCGTATTCGCCAAACTTTTCTTGAGCCAGACTAACTCGGACTGAAACTCATCAAAACATTACTCACCCGGGCTCGCTAAGACTCAGAATTACAGACCAATCTGACTCTCAGTGAATCGAATGACGAGTACTTTAGCCTGGAACGAAATTTCTCTATCAAGGTGTCAATCTTCTTGAACACTATCTCACGTATTCAATGCTTTTTTCTTGGCCCCGTTTGATAGAGTACCTTTGAATACGAGTTATGAGTGCTCGCAAACCAGTTAGGCAATTTTTTGGAAGGTATGGCTACATAAAATATATTTATCAAGAACTTCTCTTGAGTAGTTGGCGTGAGGGGGGGGGGCGATGTCAAGGCGTCGCCACCAACCATTCTTCGTGCCCCTCATAAATAAATACAGATAAGAATGCTTTGAGTATTACGTCCCAAATTAATGGTAAAATTGCGAATGAGCAAAACTGTCTTGAAATATGCTGAATACATGTCAGTATAAACTCTATATCTAGTTGGGCATATAATATTGATTAAGGTGGTTTTATTCTTCAAACTTTTCCCATCTCACAGATGAGACTGCGTTTGCGAGATACTTTTCGCCCCCGTCCGTCGCTCCACATGACCGGGGCAACTACGTGCGCTACGGCTACGACCCTCCTCCTTCACTTCCACCACCACCTCCTCCTCCTCCTCAAGAGCTTCCGCCTCTTCTCCAGCCAGCTCCCTACAATACCTCGAGAAAAAGTCGCACCAGTAAAACTCAAGGTAAGTTGTCGGATTAAATAGTTTTATTGAGTGATGTGAGACGAGGAATTCGCTGCATTTTGTTTAAAGCTTGCATGACTAAGTTTGTAACAAATCACCGAATCATTTTTAAGTGTGTTCCGAAACGATTTGCATCCATGAAAGTCGTACAGAACTGAGCCAATGGAAAAGTCTTCTTGGTATGACAATGGGGTTAGCAGCACGCTCGCAAAAAAAAAACACTAAAAGAACAGGCAGCTTTTTTCGTGCAGTCGCCTGAAACAACACGAAGATGAAAGGCGTCGTCTTCATGTTCTGATTCGATGCACTGTACCTCTCTTATTGACGTCAGCTTTCAGCACCCATTAGGTTTGGCGAAGCTTATGGGCTTAAATGCATTTATTTTGATTTCTTTTTTACCCTCAATACTAAGTATTGCATAAAAAAGTGGTTAATAATATACACGAAACCGAAACAACCTAAGGCAGTAAAAATGGTGAGTTAACACAAAGTAAACTTGGCCAAATAAGCCAGCGAGTGATGATGTCCGAAATAGCCTGGCGAAACATTAAGGGGTCCTTGGCAGTAATGATCGTGCAGGGAAGGTGACGACTGCAAGGTATTTGCACCTCTGCCGGTGCACGTCACCTGGTGCGCCTCACCTGTTGTCACCCCATATTGAGGTTACGAAGTCATTAATTCGCACTATCAGGTAACATCCCTCTATAATTCTTTTTTATTACGTGTTTGATGAGGCATATAATGCTTTCGCTTTAAAAAAAGAATCAGGGAAGGCCTCTTGGCCTCCAAGATCATGTCTTTTCACCATTCTTTCACTAGCGAAACTGGCGGGAGGCCATCAGCCTAAGGCTGGGTTGCAGTTCGGCTTCTATAGTGGCTTTAGGCCACTATGGCACGCGTTGTCTTAATGAAGCGGGCGTCTTACCTCATTGTTTAAGATCCTCTTCGGTGTTTAGTGCTGTAGTAAATGGTCCAGATACATTCAGTAGCTCGAAGATTGCTCTCAAAATCAGCAGCCTGCAAATAAAACGGCCTATTGGATGCTGAACGTGCTGCGATGGTAGATTATCGATCCTGTATTTCTTTGTACATTTATTTATTTTATACAGTTATTTTGTACAGTAGTGTAAACATCCAGATTATGTTGTAAGCAGCAGTGGGTAGTATGTAAAGGACAGACCAAAGTGCTCATGTAGAACGAAAATCAAACCTCAATCGCATGAAATGAACCGGCAAGAAAAAGAAGTGCGCTCCTGAGCAGCAGCGGGCAAAGCATATACATGAATTTTGAATTTTACAACACTACGTCCTTTGCACAGAGCGGTTTCACTCTCCACATGAGACTTGGCCTCAAGGAACACTGTGTTGCAGTCGTGAATATAGCTGTTACGTCTTACAGTATTGATCAGAACTAGCAGACAATGCCAGAGATGATTGCCTGCTAGTTCTAATAATTATTGCGCCTAACAAAGGGAACGAGTCCTCAAATCCACACTTTCCTTACATCTTACAAGGACATTTTGTGCTCTAATCATGCGTAATTAATGGCCCCAAAAGCTAGTCACGTTGTTTTGCTCAGCTTAACTACATAAATTGCTTATTGGTATTGTCATTTTTTCAGACCGCCACTCAAGTGACACGTAAGTACATTGGCGTTTCTATCACACCATAGCAGCCATATTTTTATTAGAAACTGAAATCCTGACAACTAAACCACACTATCCGGTCATTTGTGAGTGCTATACTTGAAAAAACATCGTGCTTTTGTGGTCTGTAGTTGTGTTATGCCCATAAATAAAGACACGAAAATTCCATTTCAGCTGAATCAATTCCTCATTTTTTAATTTTCTTTGCAAAAAAAGTAGTGGCGAAATGAGGCAGTAAGAATACATACAGAAGAAAGCATAACCTCAACGGTATTCCCAAAAGCTCGTGTACTCGGGTTAGTCATCGACGAAAATTGCAACCACCAGACTACACACAGGCTAAATGAAACAGTTGGAGCACCATGACACTCAACGCGAAGAAGCCCACGTCATCCGCTTGATACAGGTCTTAGTAATAAGTAACATGACGTACGTGGCAGCATACTGCATTTTCCACAAAAAAACGAGACTAAGAATTCATTGCACTCGGCTGCAAAGCCTACAAACAAGTGGCAAGAAGACAAAGTATGGGACCACAGATCAACTTCTCAAGTTATAAACACAGCAAACACTTGACTATATAGGAAGGTCAGTCTGTACAGTAATTTTTAAGACTAACTACAACAATACACGCGAAGAAACATTACAACCATACAAAGAACCATTGGATTTAGCAGGGATGGCTTTATGCTCTCCCATAGTAGAGTACCTTGTACTCTGAATCGTTAACAACTTTTTCTAAATCACCATGCACAACACTAAAGATGACATACCCAGTGCGATCTGAATAACATGGCCACTAACCTGATAATAAAAAAACACCCCCTTTACGAACGCGGACTGCAGTGACACAGAGTCAAAACACTGATCGACGGATTCGCACTTGTAGTAAACCTGCATTCAGAGATGCTAGCTGATATCCTGAATGCAAGGCGCACACTGCAGTCGTTATCGACATGACAGACACATGTGAACAGCGTGAATCAAGGAGGTAGCGGTGGCTCAGGAAATAGCCGTAGCCATAGCTATGACCTCCAACAAACACAGCAGCCTATTGAGTGACTTGCAAGTAACCATAATAAAAATCCCGCAAGGCCGAATTTTAAAACAAGCCCCCCAACTCCTCCTTAATAGTCAGGAACTAATCAAACGATATCAAAACAAATAACGAATTTTAATCCGGTGCACTGTTATGCCTGCGAGTCCGCAGCAAACGTCCGTGCCTCTGAAAAAGGCAATCTGTGTCAAGGCCAGCCCGCCTGACGCGAACAACTCAACGGCGTAAACACGCGCGGCGCCTTTCTGGCGCGCACGTGCAGTAAGTCAGCGCCGCCAGCGAGCCCGTCGAGTAAACAACCGGGTCTTCCTGTCTGGGGGGGGGGGGTGACGCAATGCCTGGCGACGCCACTCGTCCTTGGGTGCAGCCACCTTCAGCGCAGCCTCTCCTATTCGATAAGAAAGAATGACGCGGCCCAGCGGCGACCCCATGGGAGGATTCTAACCTCACGACCAGCGGCGCTTTTGGTTGGACATTTGGGTTGGACCCGGTTCATATAAAGAAAGCCCTGCGGCGCGTCAAGAGCAGACCCCATTGACAGCAGTCCTATTTGAGAGCAGACCTATGTGTTAGAGAGGAGGGCTCGGCTCTTCGAGTCTCTGCCCCAGTGCCGAATTTGTAACGCCTCTGTATATATGCTGTACATAAACCTTGTTTAACTCACCGTCGTCTCGTCCGCTCGTCTATCAGCTCTGCGCAGAAGCAGTCGCGAGCAGAGAGACCTACGCTACCAAACGGCTGGTGACCATCCCTGCGGAGTTCGAAGCAGTGGCGCCTTCGGGACCGTGTTGGCGTCGCCGTCTTTCGCAACAGTGGTTGCAGCGGGGAGATTCGTAGCGCCCTTCGTAACGTCGTCGGAGGCGCGCGTCGCAACAGTGGTGGCAGCGGTGGATTCGTAGCGCCCTTCGTAACGTCGTCGGAGGCGCGCGTCGCAACAGTGGTGGCAGCGGTGGGATCGGCCGGCGTCAGCGACATCGATGCGGTGAGTGCCTGATGTTTTCCCCTTAGTTCACCAGACTACTCTAGCTCAGGTTGTAGTAGTTTAGAGAAGGGCTGTGTGAAGCATTGAAGTGAGCTTTGATCGTTTGAAGCAAAGTCGAAGTGCTCTGAAACCAAAGTTAATGCGGAGGGGGTAAACACGGGAGTGTGAAAAATTGCTTGCGCGTCTTGCTAGTTGACTTATACTGGGTACGGCAAGTAAATTGTTAACAGGGCCAAACAGCAAGAGGCTAGTGTGAACGATGGAGAACCTTAAAGTGAAGGAACTCATCGAAATTTGTGAGGAACTCGGCATTACTTTGGGCCGTGTGAAACGAAAACAAGCGATCCTTGAGATCATGAAGGATGAGGGAGTGTCGGCTGAGGAAGTCGATGAGGCCTGGGTGGATATCAAAGCACGCCGCGAGGAGGCTGAAAGGCGAGAAGCTCGCGAAAAAGCTGAAAGGCGCGAAGCTCGCGAACGTGAAGAAGCTGAAAGGCGAGAAGTTCGTGAGGAAGCCGAGAGACAGGAGCGCCTCGAGTTGAAACGAATAGAATTGGCAATACTGCAGTGTTCGCAGGCGCCTAGCGTAGCTTCTCCAACAGTTCAGGTCAGCGGTTATAGAATTCGGGACCAACTGCCACCGTTCGTAGTAGGTGAGGACATGGCGAAGTATCTCGTCAAGTTTGAACACGTCTGTGAGCGAAACGCAGAACCTGTTAGCTCTTCTTCCCGGCGAAGTGTCAGACGCGATAACTTGCTTGTTGAGGGAAGCGTTTGAGAGCTATGACGAGGTTAAGGAAGTGCTCTTGAGACGTTATAAGGTGTCACCCTAGGCTTTCAGGCAAAGGTTCCGGTATGCTAAAAAGGGGAATGAGTCACACGTTGACTTCGCGTATCGTCTTAAAGCCGATTTAATTGAATGGCTCAAGGGCGAAGGTGTTTATGACGACCGCGATAAAGTGGTGGAATGCGTTGCATTGGAGCAATTCTACCGCTGCATCGAGGAGGATGTCAAACTTTGGCTGCAGGACAAACTTGGTGAAGTACAGCTAAACAAAGCCGCAGAGTTAGCTGAGGAGTATTATACTCGCCGAAAGTTGCATAGCAGGGCAGTGCGCGTTGAAAAGGATGAAAGAAAAGAGGGCTTTTCAAAGAAACCTGATCAACGGAAACCCGCTCCGCACCGTAATTTCAAGAAGGACCCGTCTCTTACGAAGGACAGTGTAGGGCAAGGGCAAACAGAAGCGGAGAAATCGAGTGAGGTTCCTAAACAACGCCCTGATACCACACGGGCGTTTGAATTACGGAAACCACTAATCTGCTACAACTGCAAAAAGGAAGGGCACATCGCGATAAACTGTAAGCAAAAGTTTGCTTTTGCAACAATCCGAGAATCGGAAAAGAACATGCGATTGTTGGAGCCGTATATCCAAGAAGTTAGTGTGAATGGGCAAACGTGTCGAGCACTTCGTGACTCAGCGGCAACCATGGATGTTGTCCATCCTTCATTGGTGTCTCCGGATCACTTTACGGGAGAATGCGCGTGGATCAGGCAAGTCGCCGAGGAGCAGAGTGCTTGTTTACCAATCGCCACGGTTGTCATTGAAGGCCCGTTCGGTAAGCTTCGCACCGAAGCGGCTGTGTCTGCCGCGCTTCCCGATCG